AAGACAGGATTCTGGGCTAGATGGCTGTTCTTATGTTACGAGATGCCTAACTCCGAATACCTTAGTAATATTCCTGAATTGATGAGGAAGCTCTCCCAGCAAAATCACTGATATTTCAGGCTCCTCATCCAGTGCCACCTAAGGCTTGGAAGACTGTCATCACCTATTGACCAGCCACATCACAGGGGGCTTTGACACATCAGTGGATGAGAGGAAAGAGTGGACTAGTGGCTACTGTCTCTAATGGCCAGCAACTCTTTCAGTCTTCCCTAAAGAAATCATCGTCATCAGAGTCTATCTACTTTGAAGTGGGTGACTTGGCCTTCACGGTAGAGTTCATTGCTACATTTAGACTCCCACTGTGTAACATTTCCCACCCACCTCCAGTGAGAAAGGGGCAGTAGTTCGTATCTGCAATGCCATCTAAGTCAGACAGGCAAGAGATCAGAGAATTTGAAAGATAAAGTGGGACAAGAAGTGCCAGTCCTTCACATGTAATTCAACTTGGGCTTTTACCTGGTGTTCACGTGATGTAAGCAACTGACTCCATCGTTCCAGGCCAGTGCATCAGGAAACATAGAATTTGGGTTTTTTTTCCTTGTATTGTTCTGCTTTGCTTATGATGAAAAGTATGAAGATTCATTATCCTATTTTCCACAGCAGTTTTACTGAAAAAATGTCCTGGGAAAGCCGTTATTATAAAGCCACCCTGATAACTTCATATTTTCTTGCTTTAACATTTAGCCTTCTAACAATCTGCCTGTAAGTTAAAGGTCTAATTTCACATGGAAATCTAAAATGGCCCTTTGATACTGAATCATATATTAGAAATGTTAATTCTCTTATTGCTTGGAGAAAAGGTACAGATATCAGGTTATCTAAGTTGTCATGATAAGCAGAAGACTGCCTGCTCAGATAATCAGACTCTCCAAATTCCAGGGTGCCATAAGAGGATTTTATGTAAACTCACAAAATAGCTGCCAAGTTCTAAAGGAGCCAAGGGGACTTCTGTTTATTTAAGAAGTATCAATTTTAAGAAGCACAGCCACCTTTTAAATACTTATGTAGGAACATAAGCAGAAAGAGACCGTTCTACATTTGAGAACTCAATTTTCGATAACAAACTGCACTTTCTACATGACTATTCTAACTGTAGAAAGTTTTTGACCTTTAACATTTATCCTTAAAAATGAAGTACAATATTGATATCTCCTAGAACTCAACACCTGCTCATGCCTTTCATCACTAACACCTGCTGATTCTGACGATAGAAATTACACCTGTTGTCCAGATGCACTGTGCAACTTTAAGTTCCATCACCTGTGTGCAGGTTTTCGAAATGAGAATACAAGGTCCTGTTTACATGGTAGAGTTTTACCAGTTATAGTCATATAAATACACCAATATAATTATATCAATATAACTCTCTACGTGGACACTTACTCAGGAACAAGAGTGGGTTTTTTAGGTTAGCCCAAATGCCTTTCAATGAGATAAACTAAACTGAAAAAAGCCACTCTTGTTCCAAAATAAGACTGTCCACACACTGAGTAATACTGGCATAAGTATACTAGTTTAAATTCACTCCTTAGCTTGCATAACTTTTCTGTGTGAACAAACCCTAAGAGAAGGAGCATGGGGAAATGGTTTGAGCAGGGGACTGGAGGCAGGAAATCCTGACTTCTAATCCCAAACCTACAACCAACCTGTTGTGTGGTCTTGGACACGTAATTTAATCTATGTATCTGTAAAATAATTATAAGATACCTATTTGAAAGTAGTATGATTATTTAATTTTCTAAAGTGGTAAATAATTTCTAAAACAGCAGAAAAGTGAAAAAAGTAAGAATGTCTTTCCTTACTAACTTGTAATTTACTTTAACAAAATTATAGGACAAGACTTCTTATATTCCTGTTGCAATAAAACAAAAATGCCTACAATCTCCTGAATCTCCATTGCCATAATTAAATGCAGAGGTTACTGAAGGCACTCCCCTCTGCTCAAACAGCTACCTTTTATTTTTGTCTCTAAGATCTACCAGACATTTTGTGTGCACAAAAATTTCTATATGTTAAATGTTATCCTGGAGATACAAAATCCATTTAGCTATCACATACAATGATGAAATTCTATCCTACAACTAAGATTGTGGAGCCTGGTACTACAGTGTGATACTAATACTCTGAATGACTTGTAATCTGTGTAAATTGCAACTAGTTCCAAGATGCTAACAAGAGCAGAGTCTGCCTAGAAAGTAAAGGTTGTCCCCCCTCCCCCCATACGTATCTTTTAAGAGGAGTCAATAGCTTTTCACAAAAACACTTCTGTTGAATTAGAGAGATATGCATCATTATATTCGGATATAACGCGGTAAAGCAGCGCTCCGAGGGGGCGGGGCTGTGCACTCCGGTGGATCAAAGCAAGTTTGATTTAACGCGGTTTCACCTATAACGTGGTCAGATTTTTTGGCTCCCGAGGACAGCGTTATTTTGGGGTAGAGGTGTATAAAGTAGGGCTAGTGTGTTTGCTTGGCAATCTCATAAAGCCTAGATAAATCATTACTATTATAAAATGCTTTTACAAAATGTACTGTAAACTGGTTATTGCAGTACAATTCAAGAAAATTTGTGCATGTGATGCAGATGGAGAATATGCCAATTTGCTGAAATGCCCAAAAACTCTGCAACAGTAAACATTTTACATTTAGAACAAAATGGCTACCTACTACGAGAAACACAAAATATGTGGCTATCAATCCCTTACTACTGATGTGCAACCCGCCAGACAACAAAATGCACATGCATATTGAAGAGAAATCCTAGTTCCACATTAAAATGCTTTTATGTGTACTGTAATATGTTTCCACATATCCTTGCTGGACAGCAAAAATACACATTCTATTCTATATACATGCTAACACTGTGCTAATCATTGTAGTATCTGAGCACCTGATGTTCTTCCTCAGAGACTTTAAAGTCAGAAGAGACCATGATCACCTAGTCTGACCACCTAAAAAACTTCACCGACCCATTCCTAGAATATTCCCCTAACCTCTGATTGAGTTACTGAAGTTCTCAAATCATGATTTAAAGACTTCAAGTTTTGCTGAGAATCCACCATTTACACTAGTTTAAACTTGCAAGTGGCCCAGGCCCCATGCCGCAGAGAAAGGCGAAAAAACCCATATCTCATATGGATACACTCTCCAGTCAAGTACAATAATTTGTAATAATCATTACACTGAATTTAGCTTTTTCTCTCTTCACAGAACAATTGAACAGATTGATTTTCTCTGATTTATTCATTGCTGGATTTTTTTTCTTTATTAAAATCCCTCTGGCTTGATACCTAAACAACATCGTTTAGGTGAGGGTTATATAAGCTACACGGTATTCTCTGTCTTCTCTGGTTGGATGAGAATAGCTTATGATTATTTTATCTGGTATGAATTTTCATGGAAAGCAAAACACAAAAGGAACACTATTTAAGGAAATGACAATTTTCTTTAAAAAGCCAATCATATATTCATGGGAATTTTTTGCACTATTCATCCAAATCTAGTCACTATGTTTCCATGATATACTCTATCCTCTTGCTCCTGACACTATATATTTACAGAAGCAATGTGTTGAAGGGGAGAAAAGAAGCTACAAGTAATACGTCTTATCTTTACACTACATACTGTATAGAGCTTTTTGGAAATCCACTATGTAAGAGCATCTTCCTACTCTCTCTACTAAATTAAGTTAGTGTGCTTTCATTTAAATAATCCATTCTGAAAATACAGACCTTTCATTTTCTATTGATTTCCGATGAAAATTAGAAGTCTGCTTTGTAGATTTGACCATTTAAACAAATGCACAATCTTCTAATCAGATGGGGCGGAGGGACAACAAGTCTTCCTCTGCTGGAGTATTTCAAGCAGTTCAGCTAGCACAAAAAGGAATAAGACTACGGCGATTACAGAGGAAGAGCGCTTTCACCACACAATATTCTGAGAACAGCTGTAAGCTGAGAAATGTCTCTTTTGTGTTTATTATCAGAGTTTCTGAAAGGTAGTAGTAATTTTTGTTTCTTCTTTTTACTATTTATAATTAAACTTCTATCAGAAACTATAATAGTCTGCCTTTCTTCTTCCCAGAGATATTGCTGAAGAGACACAACAGAACATTCCTCAAATACTCAACAAAAAGCATCTCTTCAGCTACATGTCCTCTTTCTCTGCCAATGCCAAGACACTGGCAGTACATTAGCAACTACTTATTTTTTCTTCAACTCATGCCAAAGAAGTTTGCATAACACACTGTCTCCTGGCATCAAACAGACAGCAGAGCTCTTCATTATATGCCCTCTCTCAACAAAGCAAAGTTAGAGACAAAAAATCAGAAAATTTCCAGTAGCAGCCTTACTTACAGGATTTAATTGAAGGGTGAAAGTCTAAGAAAGCCTGGCCTGAAGGGCTACCTAAGTTTCAGCCAATAATTAAGGACATGACCACCCCACAAAAAAAGGCACTTTTGGCATCCTAGAAAAAGCAATTACCCAAAATGAGAAAATGTAATATTTCTCCTACACCTCTACCCCGATATAACGCTGTCCTCGGGAGCCAAAATAATCTTACCGCCTTATAGGTGAAACCGCGTTGTATCGAACTTGCTTTGATCCGCCAGAGTGCGCAGCCCCGCCCCCCCCGGAGCACTGCTTTACCGCGTTATATCCAAATTTGTGTTATATCGGGTCACGTTAAATCAGGGTAGAGGTGTACCAAAAGGCGTATTTCTGCTACAGAGATCAGGTTAGAATTTGCTAGGCATTCACTTCATCATACACAGCAAAATGAAGTGTATGCCCTGGCTAATTTCAAAATATTCAGTGTTGAACAAACATTTAAAAGGAAGCAATCAATCAGGAAAACACAATGGCACATACTACAGCACGTTAGTTTACAGTTGCAACTGAACAACCTTCAATTTTTAAGGAAGAGGAAAAAATATCTTACTTTCTTAACTTTAACGCCATCCTTTGGAGTTTGCTTTGTTGCGAGATTGTACCCAATCATCTGTTCAGCAAGCTGCCCAACAACCTTAGGGCTACAAAAGAAGGGAAAAGGTCAATTTACTAACATGTATTAAAGATATTTTGATCAGTTAAAACAGCCGTTGCAAAAGCCTCAATACTATCAGTAGCATATTATTCATGTCTTTCGAATTTTAGAGACTTACTCTTTAGTTAGATGGACCCCTCCTTTCAATCCACTATTGAAAACACCTTTTCCTCTCCCTCCAGCTAGGATTTGAGCCTTTAGAACGATTTCTGTTGCCTCTGTAAGAGAAAAAAATACATTGTTGTGCTATTAAACGTTATTTATTGAGCCATAGCAACTATTAACCTATTTCAAAAAACAAGTAGTACAGAACTGGTAGAACATATTTAAAAACAAACGAACTAAAATTCACAACTGCTAGATAGTCTTACAGAGAAGTCAGTTTTGTTCATAATGCAACACACCAAAAAAGTGTTAACGAACATCCATGAGTTACCCATTAGCTGGCTAAATATGTTGATATTTAGACAAAACATTGTCATTAATAATGTATAACCTACATAATAATCCCTGTAACTTGCATGGTTTGACTGCCTAGTTTTAGAACTGTTTTCAATACCTGGACCAGAGCATATGTCCTTTGAGTGGTCACATATGCACATGGTAGCAGGCAAATGTTTATGGTGAGAGAGTAAATTTCAGCCTGTGATTGAAGCCCAAACAGCAGGGGTGTGGATATGGGGATGCAAGGAAGAATCCAATCTCCAAATGCAGGCTGGGTAGGGAGCAGCTGGTACATCAATCCCTAGGCTAGAGTAGCAGCTGCTAACCCTACATGGGGGGGTTTGGTCCACTTGATCCAGTGCCCAAGCCAATGCCCTTTTCCCTGGTTTCAAGCTCCCCACTTTACAGTGGAGTAGGGAAGGTCCAGCTTTGCTGTGCACAAGGGATACAGAATGCCCTAAGTACTAATTTGTATGTGTTTCCCTGACCCCTGTGCAACAAAAACAGCACAGTTCTGGGGCCTTGCACACCCTCTTCAGCCCTGGGTGACGTTCACCTGCAGTAAAATACCCTGGGCAGAGGTAAATGGCTACTCCAGCCTCACTCTGCCCCTCCACTCTCTGTGTGGCCTTGTACAGAGAAGCAGCTGCTCTCATCTTACTCTGCCTCCTTCCCCTACAAAGCCTGTGCACAGGGAAACCATCCAGCCCACGCAGCATCATGCCCAGAGTGTAACAGCCGCTCCCCTAGGAGGTGCTATGCGATTGGCCAGGGAGCTCGGAGGGTTGTTGCCTGATGGGTGGAGTTGTAAGGGAGTGGCTGGGCTGGGATGCTTAGCAGGCAGGGAAGGTGTGACACTCTCCTCCCACAAGCCAGGCTGAACCCTATGGGGAGTGGGGGGTAAGACATCTAAATCGATTGAACCTCAAGGGGGGGAGGGGAAGGAGGTCTGAGGCCTCCAAACTCGGAGCATGTTTGTCTCATCCACTTGTTATGTCTTCTTTTTTAGGCTGTAAACTTCTGAGGCAGGAACTCTTGTTTACTAGATTTGCACAGTGCATATTAAAATCGGGTCCAGCATGGTTGGAATCTTTAGTGACTAATGCAATGTAAATGTTAAATAATAATAATTATGGGGGAGGAATTTACCCAAATGAACCCAACAGGACTTTGCACTGCACCTCCACTGAAACCTTATACACCCATTCTCCTAAACTACTCCCCTCTCATCAGCATGGGGAAGCCGAAAGCTCACAGATTAACTACATCACACCAAAGAAGGAAGAAAGTTTCAGATTTGAGACACCCCACAACATCCCTGATCCCCCTCAAAGAATGTCCTGCCCCTAGAACCCTCCTTTTTCAACCATGTTAGCTCAAACATTTCAGCTGATCTCAACTACCCTGGGAGCACATAAGGAGAAAGGTGAATTCACTTGTAGCCAGCATCCATACCATTTACAGCTCTGGAAGTCAAAACCAGCATCTAATATTGAACTCACATTAACCCAAAGATACCGAGCTCTGCACTAGCTAAAGTTTTCAAATGGTCTTAAGGTACACCCAATTTAAAGTCAAGAGTAATCTGATCTGGTAATGACAAAGACATGGATAACTGCAGTGAGGTCAGAAGATCATTATAAGAATGGACATGCTGGGTCAGATCAAAGGTCCATCTAGCTCAGTATCCTGTCTTCCGACAGTGGCCAATGTCAGGTTCTTCAAAGGGAATGAACAGAACAGGTAATCATCAAGTGATCCAGCCCCTGTCGCCCATTCCCAGCTTCTGGGAAACAGAAACTAGGGACACCATCCCTGCCCATCCTGGCTAATAGCTACTGAGGTCTATATCCAAAAGAAAAAAGGTACTTACTATCTAACCTTCTAGCCAAGCACAGATGGAAAAGAAAAAGAAAGCACTCTTAACAGTGCTGCTACCATGAAGCATAAGAAATGTGTGTTAACCTATGAAGAAACAGTGTCCCCCAAAAATGTTGTATTTATGATTATTAGTCTCTGTTTTTCACAGCTAACAGGATGCCCCCACATGTGTTTTCAAGAGATGAGGTCTAGATATTAATGCATTATAAAGCATTGTCTGGAAAATGCTCATGTTTAAAACCGTTTCATGTTTTGTTCTTATGGGATCTGATGCAATTCCTGTTGAAGTTTATGGAAGGCTTTGACTTCAACAGGAGTTGGATGAAGTCATTAACTAATGTACATATTTTGTGTATGTAGTATTTGCTCAGTCACTATAGTTGACAATATAACTATTTACCTGAACATTTAACCACAAGTATAAATACAAAGTAAAAACTCAAATTTTAGGTTTCTGTTACAAATAAATATTTTTCAGAGACGGCTAAACATAGTGTTGCCAGGGAAGTGATTTCTGGCAACGACCACACACACACACACACACACACACACACACACACACACACACACACACTCTATTACTATTATTT